CTGCCTATGGTGGAAGAAATGTGTTGCTTGGTCATTTCCTCTCAACTATTCTGCTGTTTCTTAGATGCTGCAGTACCTCAGACTTAGATGCTTTCATCACAAATAAGGAAGGTAAATGGACACGGTTACCCTTTACTGAGAGCTCATCAAGGGCTGGCAATGTGCTAAGAGCTTTCAACTGCCCTGGTGAGTCTTCCAACAGTCACTTGGAGTAGCTGCCTATTATTCTACTCACTTAGGAAGAAATTACCTGACAGGCTCAGAGAAGTTAGGGAACAAACGAAGTTACACAGCAAGAAGAGGATGTGCTGGAACCATTTTTTTTTTTTAATTACAAAGCCCTATGCTCATAGACCTTGCATTGTAGCATCCAACACAAGAAATCCTCAGAGCCTTTACCCCAGGAATATGATGTGCTGTGTGCACAGTGAAATATACTTCCCCAAACTGCTTGCAGTCCTGCCAAAACAGTGGTGAGTGATGCTATCTAAGTCAGAAGAGAAGGCAGTGGGTTGGTGTGCAAAAGCAAAGTTATCAGCCAACCAGCTGCATCTCAGAGGCATGGTCATGGCTGAGAGCTGTACAGCTACTGGGGTCAGCGTAAAGAAGCTGGTGGAAGATCAATCAGCCTTTCCCAAGGGCAGTCATATCGATTTACTCAACCATACATGCCTCAGGGTGAGGAAAAGCCTGTGCAGACTGCCGAGGGACACTGCAACCTACGTGGGGAAAACTGTAAAATGGAAGCAGATTCAAAGGGGAATGGGTGAGGGATTACATCACCTTAGTGCTCTGAGACCTCTTGTACCACTCTAAAGTGGACATTAAAGGGACATAAAAGGACAGTAGGGCCCCGGGTTGCCAGGTGACTCCTACAAGGGTCCACAGAAGGGTATTGGTAGAATCAGAGACCAGCTCTGCCTCTGGGAGGGTTCCTCTCAGGAGCCAGGCATCCTGCCAAACCCCCACCCAAAGAGATCCACATAATCAAACTTCTGTTCTCTCTGCTCAGATACAGCCAGAGGACCAACAGTACTAAGGAGTGGGCAACAACCTCCACAATGCTAAATATTATTCACGAAGGCCGACAGACTGATGACCTTGACTCTTTATTTTTTTATTTTTTGACCTTGACTCTTTCTTTCCCAAGGTGAAAAGAAGTGGTTTTTAAAATGGTTGTGAGAGACTGTGACTCAGGAAGCCATGGAAAACCCAACTGTGTGTTATATCCGCCTTGTGTCAGGACAGTAAAAACCACAGGATGAGAAATAGTGTCTGTGGTAGGAGAGGCTGAGAGATGAGAAAACTGGAAGTAAAATGTTCATTTCTATCCCTTCCTAACTGTGTGACCTTGAACTGCTCAAGGCCGTCCACTTCTTTGACATCACTCTCTACCGGAGACAGCAGTGAAGAAACCAAGCATAGTGGTATGAAAATGCATTTGAGTAGAGCTGCAGTTTGCTGGAGGTGTCCCTAAGTCACTATGACATTAGATAAAAATTAAGACACAGTCTAATCGCTAAGACTGGGCTTTTGATGAAACAATAAACATTTAGACTATGGATTCTTTTTCTCTGAGACTGAGCAGGTCAAGGGCAAGTCTGAACACCAGGCAGGAAGAAGCCAGAGTTAAAATTAAGAGAAGTTTTCTCTCTCCCTCAAGCTTTTGGAGTTGAATTTATATAATTAGACATATGCATGGGTGATGTCATTAAAAGAAATAAGGAATACAGTGTATTTAGGGCTGTCTATATAATTTAAGATCTAAGATGACTGTTCAGATTTCCTAACAGGCTACTGCAGTACTTCTTAGATTGTACGGCTGTCTACCAGTGCCCCATGGATCTTGTTAACAAGCACATTCTGATCTAGTAGATTGGGCAGGACCAGGTATCTTTTAAAATATTTATAACTAGCCCCCAGGTATCATAGATGGCTGACCAAAGACTACACTTCGAGTATATGAGCTATTATATGGAAAAGCATGGAAGGGATGGTAGATACAGGTGCCCCAGTGAAAATTCTGGAAACAGAGCATTTTGTCTTGGATCTCTGACCCCATGTTGATAGGAAGCTAAGATGGTTCCCTCTTTCCCAAAGTCTTACCGTTCTTGGTTGGGTCATAGGGGGCACAGCCTACTGCAAGCTTCTCCAGCTGGGAACAGCACCTCCACCGTCCATCCATCCAGAAATTAGGATGATACTTGGACACCAGGCTGTTGTTATTCCTTGTTTCTGTAAGAAGTTGGTAACAACAGAGGGCTCATTTCCAGGCCAGTTGATCAGGCACTAGCAATCTTTTAACTCCCTGAGATGGGACCCTGAGGAACGCATGTCCTGAGTGCTAACCAGGATAGTCAGGCAACCCATGGTGTTGCTTTTTGAGGGGGTGTGGGTTAAACCAGTCTAGTTTATCTTTTGGATCTGCCTCCCTTTGGCCATGTGTCTCTAGGATGGGGAATCCTCACATAAGTCTCACTTTCCCCAGATTTCCCTGCTAGTGTTAGAACCCATGGCTTCATGCATGGTGGGTTAGCACTGTACCAGCTAAGCTGCTCTGGGGCCTTGTAAATTTGCTTTCTTTCTTTCTAGGCTTATGGCTTTGAAGTAAAATTTCTTAGGAATAGAAGGGACTCCATTAGTTAAAAACAAGAAAACCCCCAATATTATTGATTCTCTAGAGCTCCCTCTAGTTTTAAAATTTGGATCAAACTGCCAAGCCAAGACACACGGGGGTGGGCCTAGGCCCTATCCCAAAGGCTATGATAGACTCTGATGACACCCTATGGAAGGCCTCACCCTCCCTGGGGAGCAGAAAGAATATGTGATAGGTAGGTAGTTGGGGGGGGTAGAGGAGGAGGGGAAGGAGAGGGAACTGGGATTGACATGTAAAACAATCTTGTTTCTAATTCAAATAAAAAAAATAAAAAAAAATGGATCAAAACCCTGATGTAAGATTCAGGGGTATGGGGAACCAGGCAGTGGTGGACATGCCTTTAATCCCAGCACTTGGGAGGCAGAGGCAGACAGATCTCTGAGTTTGAGGCCAGCCTGGTCTACAGAGTGAGTTCCAGGATAGCCAGGGCTACAGAGAAACCCTGTCCTAAAAATCAAAACAAAACAGCACAACAAAAAAATATACAGGAAAACGAATGTAGCTGGGGCTCTTTATTATTTTTGGCTTAGTGTCTGTTTTCTACCATGGCTACTGGACTTGAGAGCACTTTCTAGTCGGCCTAATGCTTGCTGGTTCCTCTCCCATTTGAAATTCATTTCACTCTGGAAGCCTATGACATAACTTTAGCCTCATTTTTCAGACACAAGTACTGTAGCTCCAGACATAGCAAGGGTCTTGCTTCCTTACTCCTCACAGCTGCCTAGAGACAGGTTTCCTGATAAACAGGCAGCTTCAGGCTAAAGAAAAAGAATAGTAACATTGATCAAGTACTATTTGGGGATGAGAAGTTTTAAACACACCTTACATGTCCTAACTCATTTGATTCTCACAATAGCCCTATGACTGTGCTTAGATGACTTCTGTAGCTGAGGAAACAGAGCTGCACAAAGGTCCAGATGAAACGCTAACAACCCGTAGTTTCTGGACTTTCACTACTGAACCCTGTCTCTTCATCCCATGGACTTAAACACTGTGTGGGCTCCAATTGTGCTGCCAGGAATGTGAGAATGAAGAAAGGTGGGCATGGTAGTTCCATGTAATTCCAGCACTTAGGATGTGGAGGCAGGAAGATCAGGAGTTCAAGGTCTGCCTTAGCTACTTAGAAAATTAGAAATCAGACTAGGTTCCATGAACCTCTGTCTCAAAAACAAACAAACACAAACAAGCTAATGCTTCCTGGGCATTGGCTATGCCTGCTAGTTCTAAGAGTTTTACTCACCACAACTCTATGGAGAGATTCTATTATCTCCCTTCCCTTGACTGCTGGGGAAACTGAAGTTAAGAAATTGCCCAAAAGCACAAGGAAGAGCCAGGATTCCAACCCCTGGGATCTAACTAGAGGGGTCCTCACTCTAAACTTTCTTGCTCTACTAGAGTAAGCAAACATTTTAAAAATGCCAGATAGTAAATATTTTAGGTATGAATGGCCAACAGGCAAAATGGTCTCATGTGGACACTTACATAGTCCTTTTAAATGATTTAAAATACAGGACCTGTTTTTATCTTGGAGCCTCACATGAACAGGTGGTGTGGGTTGGATTTGGCCAATCCGTAACTTATATTTGTTGCTGCTCCTGGGCCCATGATAGAAACTCAAGGCATTGACTGATTACAAATGGGATATATTTTGAACACCAGTTGCTCACAGATATCACTGCAAGCCCAGCACAGCACCAAGGACGTGGTGACTCAACAGCATAGGAGTTTAAACTCCTTCTTTAAGGGTAAGCACCCAGCGCTGCCGGCTCTCACAGTCTGGAGCAAACACATACAGGAGGTAGTTGTCATGCATGACCTAGAAACACACAAGAGTCCAAGATGAGCAGGACACCCAGAAGTGGGGAACCCACCACAGGCCCATCCTAGTATTTATCATCATTTAACCTCGGCCACTAGGGAACCAGTGTGCTTTTCATCAGAGTACCAGGAGGCTGTGCCATTAAAGTGACCTTCCACAATATAGGTGGCTTGTCTCGGGTATCACACCACTAGTGGGTATTTGCCCAATTCAAGTAAAAAGGGAAAGAGAAGATGGTCCTTTCACTAGATAACATGTTTATTTCTCATATTAATTTTTCAGTCTTAGGAAATGCTTCCTGGTGTATGTAAGAGTAAGTTGTTAGATGACAAACATGGACTCGAGATACTTTTAAAATTCTTAGTAAAGTTTAAAATCCCCAAGGAGTTGCCCAGTGCAGACCCTGTGGATGTTCACTCAGCTTTCCTGCACATTCTGTACAATCCGAGCACATTTCTAAATCAGGAAACTCCTAAGCAATCCTTGGGTCCTTGAAATGCCATTAGTTTTTCCCCACCCCCAGACTCATTTGTAATCAATACTTTTAATTTCTGGGAATTTGTGTCATTCATTTTACTTCCAGCTTTATAACTTCCAATTCAGGCTGATTGTATCCTGTGATCTCAGCACTTGGGGCAGGAGGATTCTACATTCTAAGCCAGTCTGGTGATATGGAAAATAAAGAGAAAGGAAAGAAGGGAGGGAGAGAAAGAAAGAGGAGAGAGAGAAGATCCAGCTCATGGGGGCTACTTTTCTAGTAGAAAAAAAAGTCCTGTTCTGTGACTCATTAAAAATGGATGATCTGGCTGGAGATGTAGCTAAGAGGTAGAGCACTTGCCTAGTACATGCTCAGGATCCTGGGTTCAACCCCCAACAGTGGGAATAAAAACCAGCTAGGGATATCAGCCCTTCAAGTTGGGAAACATAAAGATGTCTGGGATATGGGAGGAGATATCTACTCCACTGGTATTGTAAACACAAAAGGTGGTGAGTAAGATAAAGACTAAAAGGTACACTGGCCAGCTAATGGAGGTTTCTGCAGTGAGAAATGGCTGGGATCTGTGCTGTCAACATATGTCTCTCTAGTAGCAAATGGCTACTCAACATTCACAATGTGGCCAAAGTAGTAACTGGCAAGCTAAAATTTAAAATCTGTCTGTCTGTCTGTCTGTCTGTCTGTCTGTCTGTCTATCATCTTCCTTCCTTTTCCCTCCTCTTCCCCTACCTCCCCTTCCCCTCCCCTCCTCTGCCCTCCCTTTCTCCTCCTCTCTCTCCCTCCCTCCCTTCTCCCCCTCTCTTTCACTGTGTGCCTGTGAAAGAGAGTACATCACTGTGAGAATGTGGAAGTCAGAGGACAATTCTCAGAGCTTTTTCCTCCTACTTTCTGAGATCAGGGGATCTAACTCAGGTCACCAGGCCTGCACACAAGTGCTTCTACCTGCTGAGCCATCTTGCTGACCCCTTGAAAATTATTACTTATTTAATACTATTTAATTCAGATTGTCATCTCCATGTAAACATTCACATTCCACAGGTGGCTGCTATTTTGAATGGCACCATCATCTTCAGATGGCTATCAGATTGTGACATTTCAGTAACTGCAGAGGAGAAACTGAGGAATTAGAATCCCCAAGGTTGGGGCTGTAGTAAGTGGTGGAGCACTGCCCAGCATGTACAAAGCCCTGGGTTCAATTCCCAGCCCTACGGGAAAGCAAGAACCTGTCCAAGAGTCTGTACCTTTGTGGAATGAATGAATGAATGAATGAATGAATGGATGGATGGATGGATGGATGGATGAATGTCACGGGTTGGAAGATAACTCACAACCCTTTATGTGGGCTTGGCTCTCAGCATGGGTGAGAGCCCCAGCCTCTCTCACAAGGGCTGGGGATTCTAATCATGGCCAAGGGACAGAAAGCTGTCCACTGTAGTCCTGATGGGCTTACCTGAAAAGGGTACTTATAGTGGCATGGGATGCTAATGTCACTCTTGACGATCTCCACACACTTGATTCTGGAAAGTTCAATGGAGCCTTTCAACGTGCGCTTCTTCTGTGAAGAGACATTACATCCATTTAATCAAGAGAGAAGACAAGGCTTTCATTCTGATTGTTTCCAGAAATTCACTATTAGGAAATTTTCCATCCCTTTGTAAGCCAGCCAAGGTGTTCCTAATCAAATATCCTGAAGTTGCCTCCCGCCTCCATCTGAGAGGGGGTCTGAGGAGACTCTTGGGAGAAAGGCCTCTCAAGGGTCATGATGGGGACTGATTTTTCTATTCAGTCAGCCACAGTGGTACACATCATGGTCCTGATGACACACGACAATGTTTATAGGACTCATAGGTTGTGTACTCGTTGGGAAAAGAGCTGCATGTGTGACAACATATCCTGCTCTGTGATGTCTGTGACCTCATTAGCTCATGCTTGACAGGCAGTGAGGTATACTATTAGCGAGGTCTTTGCCACATCTGCCTTTCCCATGTCCCTTAGTTATTCAAAGTGCCACAGTAATGTCCTGCAGCACACTCCTGCTCTGAACTGCCTTTTGCCACCCACTTCACCATCCCCCATAAAATCATACATATCCTTTCTGCTCCCCAGGGAGGGTGAGGCCTTCCATAGGGTGTCATCAGAGTCTATCATGTCCTTTGGGATAGGGCCTAGGCCCACCCCCATGTGTCTTGGCTCAGGGATTTTGATCCTCTGCCTGGAAACCAATCTTCACTGACTAGTTGAGGCACAGAACTGATGTTAGTCTATATCAGTGGTTTTCTTTCTTTCTTTCTTTCTTTCTTTCTTTCTTTCTTTCTTCCTTCCTTCCTTCCTTCCTTCCTTCCTTTCTTTCCTTCTTCTTCTTCTTCTTCTTCTTCTTCTTCTTCTTCTTCTTCTTCTTCTTCTTCTTCTTCTTCTTCTTCTTCTTCTTCTTTTTATTCAAGACAGGGTTTCTCTGTGGCTTTGGAGGCTGTCCTGGAACTAGCTCTTGTAGACCAGGCTGGTCTTGAACTCACAGAGATCCATCTGCCTCTGCCTACTGAGTGCTGGGATTAAAGGCGTGCACCACCACTGCCCAGCTTATCAGTGGTTTTCAATCTGTGAGTTATGACCCCTTTCACAAACCTCTATCTCAAAAAATATTTACATTACAATTCATAACAGTAGCAAAATTACAGCTATGAAGTAGCAATGAAAAGTAATTCTTTGGTTGGGGGTCACCACAACTGAGAAACTGTATTAAGGGGTAGCAGTATTAGGAAGGTTGAGAGCCACTGCTCTAGAGTAAAATGCCTGTGCAGAAGAGTGCTAATTAAGCCTCTGCTTGCAGTTATATCACAAAGTGGAGGGAGACATATCTGGAGTCAAAGATAGTAGTGAAAATTCTACGTGAAGTTCTGAAGCTGCCATGCCCAATAAAAATTGAAACAAACTGTGAACTGTACATGTAATTTAAAGTTTTTCAGTTGGGCATAGTAGCTTATATCCATAATTCTACCACTTTGAGGTTGAGGCAGGGGAATTTCCACAAGTTTGGAACCAGCCTTGGCTATGTAGCTAAGGGTACCCTTTCTCAAAATAATTTCTTTCCTATAAGGATGTTCAGAAAAGCAATAGTAGCAAGTAAAATTAAATTTGATAACTATGTTATTTAACCCCAAGCATCTCAATATTATCATTTCAAACTAAGTATAAAAATTGATCAGTTCTCTCTAGCCCTAACCTTTGAAATCCTCTATTTTTCACACACCTCAGCTTCGACGTGCCACATTTAAGTGCTCACACAGTTTCCAAGGAGGATTCTTCCTCTCTGTTCAGATTCCTAGTATCCATTTGTTCCACACATGGACTTGAAGAGGCATTTGTTCCTAACTGTCAACCAGATGAGCCCTTTCAGTAGAGAGATCTGATTGTTCATGGCTTACGCTTGGGTCCCCCATCCATCATCCATCTTTCCCATCAGTCTCCCAGAATTTCACACGATTTGATCTGGGAAACAGCAGGCATAGATGTTCCCTCCCCAACTGGTCAGTGGGAGCAGCAGGTCAGGAGCTAAACACAGTTCAGTCTCTGGGAAATGATGGTTGCCTGCAATCTTCCCAAACAACTGAGCTATTTCTGAAAAACAGCAGGGTAAGAGCTGCCAAGAAAACCACACAAAAGCCAGCAGAAGAGGGAGACCATGTTAGCTTGTCTCCACTCTTCCTTTTTATTCTGACTGTACCACACAAGGTCACAAGACTTTGGGTAGCATTGTCTCTTGTTGCCATCTTCAGAGCTAGACTGTCTCAGGAAATAATGCCAGTGGCCAACAAACAGAACCTTGTGAAATTAAGAAGCTTCTGCACAGTCAAGGACTACAATTAACTGAGTGAAGACATAGTCTGAGAGACAACCTTGCCTGCCATACATCAGACATTAGATGGATATAAAAAATGCATCAAGAACTAAAAAAATCACAACCACAGGAATGTAAACAACCCAGCCAATACAGGGGATCACAAAAGGAACAGCTAGTTCCCAGAAGAGAAACTCAAATGTTATTAAACACATGAAAAATAGCTCAGCTTCACTAACTGTTGCAGAATTCCAAATGAAATGCAAGCAAAGATGTGGCAGAAGAAGTCTTATATACTGATGGTAGGGAGGCAAACTAGTCCAGCTGCAATGGAAACCAGCACAGTGGGCTCTCTAAAAACTACCAGTCGATCTACTACATGAGGCCGCGGTGCCTGGGTATTTACCCAAAGGACTCCAAGACACTACACCAGAGAGAAACTGTGCAGCATTATTTATAACAACTAAGTTGTGGACTCAGCCAAGGTGTCAATCAACAGAGGGAAGGGTCAAGACCAGGCTTAATAGATACACAACAGAGATTTTTCAGCTACAAAGAAAAACAAAGTCATGCAATTTGTAGAGAAATGGACGCACTTGGAGACAGCCACAGTAAGCCAGGCTCAGAAAGATAAGCATTATTTGCTTTCTTTCATATTTGGTTCCTAGATTTTATAGATACATAAAAATCATGTACGCATATATGAAATGAAAGTAGAAGTGAAAGTGTTGAGAGAACAAAGGTGACTTTGGGGAGGACAAGGGGAAGGAGGGGGAGGTGCATTGCTACACACAATATATACTTGTAGGAAAATGTTCTCATAACAAAATACCATGTATAGTAAATGGCAAAATTTAAAAAAATATATAATAAAAACACAAGAACATAAAGTTAATACAGATATTTTATGTGTCAAACACATAAACTAGTTTATATACAAAACTGCTAAAGACTGCAAGTGACTTTTATACCCTCTTTTGAATCAATAGTTTATATGAAATAGAATTGGATTGTGAGTTTCAGAGAGAGACCGGAGAAAGTAATAAAAGTCAATAATATTTTTAACTTCTTTCTCCATTGCATTTAACATGACACAATAAAGTACTGTTTCTCCATTAGACAGATGAGAAAACTGAGGTTTGTGAGGCCAGCTTCCTTCATAGTGAAGAGTAATCTTTAACTTTGGTGCTTTGCCTCAATGCTTCTAGGAATCTTTCATTACCCAAATTCGGTATAGGATAGTTGCGTCTGATTTCTTCCAGCCATGGCTTAGTGGAGCATTGTTTCTGCTGCACTGGCTTGCTCAGTTCTTATGCTGGTTTTAGGTATGTTCCCTGGTTTCCCAGCATGACAGGTCTTTGGTTCTGTCATTACTTGCTGAGCCCAGTGGATACATCAAGTTACATGTCAGACACCCTCAAGAGGACAATTCCAAGTGTCCAATAAACAGCAGAATTTCTGTTTTCTACTTTGGTAAGGCTGAATGCAGATGGGATGCTTCCAGATCAAGCAGACTAAGGTTCAAACCCTGACTCATTCCTCACCAGCCACACATCCTTAGTCAAAGGTTTCAACATCTTAATAACTTTGTATTAAAATATTTTAAAGATTTATTTATTTTATGTGTATGGATGTTTTACTTGTATGTATGTATGTATGTATGTATGTATGTATGTATGTATGTATGTGTAACATATGAGTGCAATGCTGTGGATGTCAGAGGAGGGCATCGGATTCCCTGGGACTGGAGTTAAGGATATTTGTGAGCCACCATTTGGTGCTAGGAACTGAACCTGGATCTTCTGCAAGAGCAAAAAATGCTCTTAACTGCTAACCCATCTTTCCAGCCCCATTATGCCTTGTTTTCATAAATGACTCCTCAGTCACTGAGTTAACTCGGAGGATCTGAAACAACTGCATAGGAATACTGGCAAATTAAAATCATTCAAGAGATGAACTGTCTGTCACTCAAAGGCTTCTCACCTCCTCTTCTTCTTCCTTTCCTTTTCCTGTCCACAGATGAAGCCCAGGCCCTTTTTGTCTTTATGTATCCACACTTTCTTTGCTCAAATGTTCTTTTATGACATATGTAAGCAGAAAACATCACTGGGGAAGACAGCAGTCACACTTAGCTGGTGAGAATTGTAATTTGGGCAGTTGGAGTCGATTGTTTTCCTAGTAATTTGTAAATCTAGGACAAAATCATGGAAGGGGGGGCTTCCTAGCTTCCCCTGAGTGTGTCTATGTGCTGGCCCTTCCTGGGATCAGACTGTGAGAGGGGCCACCTGCAGTACTCTCAATGCTTTGATTCGATCAGGTTCTTAACATGGCATTTCAAATGTTCTGCTCAATGCCTCTTTGGGGTCTACTGTACCATCTGAAAATTCGCAGTGATCTGTGACATTTTAAGCCTGATGTCATATGAAATAAAACTTAAATGACTGATTTAGGGGGTGCCATTTTTCCCCACTCACAGCAATTCTAAAATGGCCTTAGGAGTTTTTCTCTGTTGTAGTTTCATCTTCTGTGGGGAGCTTCCTTGAGGCAACCCACACATTAATCTCTGTTCTAGCAGTAGGCTGGGAGAAACCCAGAATCAGACTTGGAGAATCAGGATTATCATTGTCCCTACAGTGGTGTAACACTGGGCAGGCAGGGACAGAGCCTGCAGCTCACTTCTTACCCTCTCTGTAGTTCTCTTAGTCCTTGGGGACCCAGGG